TGTTTGGGGATGCCAATAGCTACTTAATGGACATCTCTGGAAGCAATATAAACAATGTTCTTCATTTCCTTAGCCTATCCTGCACAGACCCAGACCTCCATTTGCTCTGTTTGCTAGAAACCATGCCTACTCATAGATGCTAAATCTGCCACACCATCACTTTTGAAAAGCTTTGGAGAAAACAAAACTCACGGTAAACTGCAGAGGGTTCCTTTTCCTTTTTTTTCTAGCCAACTAATTTGCATTAAAATGGGATATTTTGTAACAATGTGCAGCATATAAGGGGCATATACTTGGTTTATGTTACCTGTCGTGAAGACTAGTGTATTATATTCAGTCAGCACTGATACATCTACATGCCTTTAAAGCATCGGGAAGGAAACTGTCCTTCCGTACACAATGACAGACAGACACCTAACCTCGTGGAGAATGAATAATGGACATGGCCCTCTTACTACAGTTTTTTCAATCCCAACTCAACCTCCTTATGCAGTAGGCAGGATACAGCCTCGTACCTTTGGCATATACTCACTTTGGTAAAAGGATTAATTGCACACTCCCAGGTTACGTAGTACAGGCTTGCATCCTCTAGTCCTGCAGTCCCCAACCCCCAGGCCGCAGACGAGTACTGGGTCTGTGTCCTGTTAGGAACCAGGCCACACAGCGGGAGGTGAGTGGCGAGAGAGCTAGTGAAGCTTCGTCTGTATTTACAGCAGCTCCCCATTGCTCCCATCGCTGCCTGAGCTCCGCCTCCTGTCAGATCAGCGGCAACATTAGATTCTCATAGAAGCCTGAGCCCTACTGTAAACTGCGCGTGGGAGGGATCCAGGTTGTGCGCTCCTTATGAGAATCTGTTGCCTGATGATCTGAGATGGAGCTGAGGTGGTGATGCTAGCTCTGGGGAGCGGCTGCAATACAGATTATCATTAGCAGAGAGGTTTGTATAATTATTTAATTATATATTACAATGTAAAAATAATAGAAATAAAGTACACAATAAATGTAATGTGCTTGAATTATCCTGAAACCATCCCTCTTCCCCTGGGCCCCCACCGTCCATGGAAAAATTATCTTCCATCAAACCGGTCCCTGGTGCCAAAAAGGTTGGGGACCACTGCTCTAGTCTCTGCCGTGTCACACTGTGTTTAAGCTTTATCTGTGCTGTGCTTATTCTTCAGTTATTTCACTTGACAAAGTTCAGTAAGAAGGAAATTAATGATGTAGATTTAGGTATAGATCTGAAACTTTGTAACATTCAGGTATTTCATGGACCATGTGCTTTATACATAGTTGCTGAATAAATTATTGCATGAATGAATTCTAGAGTAATACAATAATGGGTTCAATCCATTCACTGCAGAACTCAGGAAGGTTTTGAGATGAATACCAAATCAATTTATGCTTAGAAAAGGAGTTCAGTTTGTTACTCTTTATGACAGCAAGGAAAGTCTTGACATCAGTTTAAGCTGGTTAACCTGATATTCGAAAGGTGCAGAGTCATGTTTAAGTGGAGCCATGCATTTATATTCCCTTTTGGTTAAAGGTTTGAATATTGCTTTTGTTTTGGCCACTCTTCCTCTATAGGATGCACATTTTCATATAACTATGTTCTTCCCTTCAACCTTGTGCTTTGACCAGGCCACAGTCCATAGTATCAGAATCTATTCACCTTCACAGGGAGCATATTTCAAAGATGAGCCTTTGATGACCCAAGAGAATCTATTAGGGTATACCCAACTATGGTCGATTTAGAAGGTACATTTTGTGACTGACATCTCAGGCTTATTGCTGCATTAATCCTCATGTTTACAAACAATAGAATCCCTTAATGAATTCTTCGACCATGAGGATATATTAGACCTTGTAGATGTTCTTATTCACTATAATGTGTTACTCCATGAATTAAGAAAAAAGAAGCAGAGGAAGACTATGACAAATCATGTTACCCCATCCTCCAATGAAATATGTTTTCCTATATTTCATTGTACAATGTTTCCGACAAGTATACACACATAGACAGAGCCTCCTCTTCCATCTTTCTCTCTTTGATTTCCAGAAAGATAACAGGCAGATTGGAAAGGGAGACCTCTACTTGTTAACAAAGCCCTTCATATCATCGCAGGCAAATATATGTGTCTTAAACCTTCGACTTTTCGGAGGAGAGCCCTCTATTTTTATCATCTAAACCACACTAGTATCAGTAGTGTTGGGAGAATAAGACCAGTTAGAAAAGTGAATTTGCTTCAGGCTGGGTCTCGTGGAGCTCTCGAATCACATCACATGGGCACCCACTTCCTCCACTTATGTTTCCAAACAGCAAATGCAGTCATTCTCACCATCATCCACATTACTCCATCACCTCTGACAGTAATAATGTCTGACATTTGTTCTTTTCTCATAAACTCCCACTGTGAGTCCTGACCTTATGAGGGCAGGCCACTGATTTTTACCCATTAGTATTTAATACTATACATGTAAAAGTTGTATTGCAAACAATTTCTGTGATTTTTTAATCTCTGCTTCAAAGAAGACATGGCTCAGCATGGGAAAAAATCTCTCTCTTTCTCTTGCTCTCTATACACACGCACACACACACACACACACACAGACACATACACACTGCATGGTATCCATGGTATCCTCTAAATTCCACTTCTAGCTTGATCCATATAATATAAATATTATTTTGAATATAAATATATATTTTGTAACTAAGTTAGTTTCAACATAGAGAATTGGAAATGATAATCAAAAGATCCAGATCAGCCATTGCTCCCATTGTTTTGAGCAGCATTTTTTCATAAACAAGGTTGAAGGCTGACATTATGAAAGTAATTGGCAACTTTTGTAGATTTGCTTCTAATAATTATCTCATTAACTTAGGGACCAATTAGGCACCCCAAAAAAGGAGGAGAAGGAAGGAAGGAAAAAAGAGATGGAGAAAATCTAAAATATCTAAAATAATTCTCTTTTATATAATATGCCTAAGGCAGGATTTGGGCTCTGAACCATTGGTTAGCCTGCCTTCCAAAAGCTTCAATGTCCTTTCCTCAGTTTGATTTGACCTGAAAGTTTCTTTATTTTCTCACACTAAATGCCACCAGTAATTGGCAGCTTGGTATGGATCCTTACATCTCATCATTTAATGCTGCAAGACTGGGTTTTTGGATGTGGTACTTGTCTTGGATCCAGTGGGTAGAGTGATGGTATGGAACACCAGTGGCATTCCTGGAGTGAAGTGTGAATACCTGTTGGCATTAGCGTGTAGGGCCATCAAGGCACAAGTCTTTTTTCAAGCTGGCACGATCCTCTGGGAGTGCTACCATCATTCTCATGTCCGATAGCTTTAATGCTGAACGCTTAAATGCTAGCAATGCAATGGGAACCCCATTATATTGTAATCTTATTTTTAAATGCTTTCTAAGAAGTCCCAAACCAATCTGTATGCAAACCAGTGACATCTAAGTAATAAGTGCTTTATCCAGGAATGTTATCTTCACATTTTTTTGCTGAATTGTGATCCATATCACAAACTAAATAATGGATTTTTTTAATGGTATCTTCAAAAAGATACCCATATAATCCATCACTCAGATATATCTCTGAGTAGAGAAAATGCCTCTTTCTTTCTCACCTCTCAGTGATATTATTGCATTATGAAGTACTCAGTAGGCTTTAAGCTTAAGGCTGGTGGGCTCAGTACACTCATACCATGGTGTTAGTGAGGCCAAGGTCATGGGGGCCGGTTAGCTTTGCTCTGTGTACTGACCACAGACCACCAGGAATCAGTCAAGAGATGCTAGCACAGACGAGAATGGCACCATGGCAAAACCTCAGGACTCATCAGTCCATCTTCCCCACGTGACAGGCAGGATGTATTAGTAACGCATCATCATCTTAGGGAGGAAATGAGTAGCAGCTTGGGAGGCCCCAACATCTACCTCTGAACAAAGCAGGCCTGACGTTTAGGCATTAACTTTGCGTTATAATCCCCCATCATACCATTGATTTGCTGTGTAACCTTCATCACTAAAGCAGAGATAATAGGATGGAATGAAATGGGCTTACCTCCCGGGGATGTTGTGTGAATTAGCAAATTAACGAGTGTAAAGTGTTAGCATTTATGTAAGTGCTGGTGGTTGTCATTATTTCTAGGTACCCAGTCTCATTCTAAATAGAGAATCTAAGTATATTATGCTTTTGTCAGAAAGGGATTTTCACCCGCATCAATTGCATTCAAGCCGAGCATAAAACAGAGGTGATAATAACATAGTAGTGATCATTGCAATGCAGAGCTGTAAACCTTTTTCCTATTAAATCTAAAACTATTTTCAGCAACTTTCAGTGCTTTTAAACTTTGCTTTCCAAGCTTTGTGCCAACAGTTATCTCTACAGTGATTATTCTTCCTGCGATGGGTGGGGGGAATGGGACCTAGAATAGGTCTCATTCATTATTCATTCCCATAATGACTATATAATGTATTGAATTTGTTTACATCATACAATCAAGCAAATTCGGTAGCTGGTTTGATTGCCACGTACTGCAATCATTGTAAAAAATAAAAACTCTTTTCTGCTCTGCCCACGCTGGTGTCCTCTAGAGGTAGCCAACGTACAGATTGAAAACTCATGGGGAATTGAAGTGTTTTCCAACAAAAGGCACTGTACATAGATCCTTTCAATTTAACATCTTTACCAAGGAATTTTCTTGTTGCCTGCTATTTCCGAGGGGACTGAGCTTGAGAGAATTCTTCCATTTCTTTTATCACCCTGACTTCACTTACCAAGAAAAGTCATTTATTGCTGATTGCAGAACTCTTGAACTCAGTCTGGCAGCTGCAGTGTGAACTCCTCAGATCTGGACTCCTTGTTACTTATTTACATATTCATTTAAAGTGATTTTTCAGGACTATTTGAAAACCTCTCTCAACCTGACATCAGGTAATAGCCGAGATCTGAAGCTCACCCTGTTTTTGGTTCTTTTTCTCTTTGTCTTACAGATAACAGACGAGTACCTCTGGAAAGGTCACGCTCTCGCCACAATGGAGGTATCTCATCTAAGTGATTCCTGATGCCAAAGAATATGAAAATATTTAAGTAAACAAAATCATACATTTCGAGAAGAACAAAACATGCATCAAGGGATGGAGAGAAAATAAGTGCATTCCTGCAAAGATCAAGCTAAGCTGGGAAGTCGTGTGCATTTATAAAACTATTACAAGACTCCTCCCGCAATACTAATTTGGACAGAGTTTTCAGGATTATAAACCATCCTGTGTTCCATTTTCGTGTAAAGATGTGTATTATTTGTTATTGTGTGTGACCTGACTGTGATGATGAAAGCGTAAGAAATTGAAGAGTCAGAGCTTTTAAAAACATTCAGTCTGTCAAAAAAATTTAAAATCTTACATTTGTAGGTCACCCAACCAAAAACATAAAAATAAAAAAGGAAGAGAAGCAAAAGAATAGAAAGAAAGAATTATCTGATGTCTGCTTCCAATCCCTATTTGTGTACAAAAGAAAAAGGTCAAGAAAAAATGTGCAGCTTAATGATTCGTAGAGGACTAATACTGTGGGCGAAGCCATTTTGGAAATTCACAAAAGTACTGCTCTACCCCAGTCAGGTTATTTAGAATCTTATCTCAAGTGAAAGCCGATGGATTCATCTGCTTTGGCTGAAATTAAACTTACCATTAGTCTAGCGTTTCAGCATGATATTGCAGGAACTCATCATTGCTAAAAATAAACCAAAGTTTAATAGAATCGGTTAGGGAAAGTGATTTAAACTTTATTTAAAGAGGTATTTTCTAATTATGCACAGATATCTACTTTATACAAATACTTTATATGGCTATTTTTGAGAAAAACCTCACATTTTAATGTTTGTGCTAGGGATGAACCTGAAAATTCTATTACTTTTATGTAGATTTTAGAGGCAAATGTGCCTATTCTCTGTGGTTTATTTCTTCTCTCTATCGCTTCTTTCTCCCTTGACCCCCTTGAAGGCAGGGAATAGAGTTCTGGAAGACCTGAGAGGAAAAAGATTTCTTTCTGCAGGAGGCAGCAGAAAACTGTCTGAAAGGTCAATTGTTTTGTCTACCTTTCCGATCTTCTTTCTAATTCTACTTTGGTGGTCTGAAGAAGAAAAAAATTCTATGTATGTACATGTAAATATGTGTATATATTTATATCTCCTGCTACAATAATTCCGCATCCCACTAACGAAGTGAACTTCTCAATCATCATCATACTTACTTACCTTGTATTAGCAAATTCAAATGATGCTGCCAAAACAACTCTAGGAGGAAAAACAGGCTCTACATTTTTCTTAAATAGATGAGACAGTAAAAATTATACTTAACGTGTCTATTATTTTAAAATATGCATTGAAATAATGTGGTATTTAACTTCTCTGAAGTGCAATTTTAAGACTAATTCATGCAGATGATTGTGATTATTGTAAAAGATTTCTTATATATATATTTGTTATGTAGAACATCCTATTTCTACTCCTCCAAAGCACATCATAGACATTCAGAGAGAAGAGCAAACGACTGGCATGATGATATGGCATGATAATATCTTAGATGGCAAGTCCCCATCTAAGATAATGTAAACAAGTGACCAGTAGCTCACAGATTATTTTATATAGATGTATAATGATTCAAACCACTGCCTTTTCCTCCATTGCATTCTTACTTGGGTATTATATTTAAAAAAGCTCTGAAGCTGCTATGATAGAGAAATCAAAAAGAGTAACAGTATCTGAGATTTTAAATTCTGTCCTTTCTGAAAATACACACACACACACACACACACACACATCTACAGGACATAATCAGTTTCACACTGTTTTTTAATAACAACAAAAGTTTAGGTTCTACTAATTTATGTAAATACCTAATATGTGTATTTTTGACTTTACAAAGACTTTTTTGAAATCTTCATGGTATGGCTTCTTTTGAGTCTTTTGATAGCTTTTCAGGCTGTAGGAAAATAATTTGGAAATGTTAACCCTGACTGAAATCTGGGGGCATTTGCCATGCCATATTATGAAGCTGGTCAAGGTAGAAATACTGATGTGTATCACCTTTTCCAGATGCGAACTTGCCTTATTTTCGAGTTTGTAAACAAGAATGAAAAACTATTATCGATAAATTATATACTTGTATTTAGAATGATTCCACATACTTTTCTCAAACATTAAAAAACCTTTCAGGGTCTTTTATGAAGGTCCAGTAATTAAGTTAAAGGGTTCACTTCCCAGATTTATAATGATCCTGCTCTATCCATTTGTGGTTTTGTTTTCCATTGAAAAGTATCCCCCCCAAAAAAAGTACATAATGGCATTTTTGGTGTAGAAGCAAATGATACTAAAGTCTTTTGTTAGGCTTATCACTGCCACATGTGAGAAGCACCATTTATGCAGGTTTTCTTCAGAATGTTTTTAAAAAGTACAAAACCCTGAAAATGTTAACTAGTTGTAGTAGTCTCCTTTGGCTGCTGTTACAAATTACTACCAATGGGGTTGCTTAACACAACAGAAATTTTTCCTCTCATGGCTCTGGAGTCCAGAAGTTCAAAATCAAGGTGTCGGGAAGGGCTGTACTCCCTCCAGAGGCTCTAGAGGAGAATCTTTCCTTGCCACTTCCAGCTTCTGGTGGCTTTTGGCATTCCTTAGCTTATTGTCACATCTTTCTCTCTGCTCCGTCTTTACATCACCTTCTCCTCTGAGTACCTGATCTCCCTAGACCTCTCTCTTTGAAGGATGCTTATGATGATATTTGGGGATCACCCAGATTAATCCAGGATAATCTCCTCATCTCAATATCCTTAACTTACTTACACCTGCAAGACCCTTTTTCCAAATAAGATAACATTCACAAGTTCTGGGGATTAGGATATGGATATATCTTTTGCGGGGAGGGGGCACCATTCAGCTCACTCTACTACTCATTGCACATACGTTAGAATGTGGACATGTCTTTTTGGAAGCCACCCTCAGCCTACCACAGTCTGCCCTCTGGCCCCAAATTTTTGTCTGTCTCATGTGTAAAATACATTCAACCCGTCCTAACGTTCCCAAAAGCCTCAACCTATTATAGCATCAACTCTTGAGTCCAAAATCTCATTCAAATGTCATCATTTCAGAAGTCCCAAATCTCATTATTTAGATCATCTAAATCAGGTATGAGTGCAACTCTGGGTATGATCCATCCTGGGGCAAAATTCCTCTCCGTCTGTGAACCAGTGAAACGGAAAAGAAGTTAGATACTTCCAAGTACAATGATAGGACAGACATAGGATAACAATTACAGATATTCCTATTTCAAAAAGTAGAGAATGGAAAGTAGAAAGGAGGCACCTGTCCCAGTCATTTTCAAAATCCAACCAGACAATTTCCCTTAGGTTTCAAGGCCTGGCGATGATCCTCTGTGTCTCAGGGCTTCACCCTTTGGGCTTGCAGCCCTCCCCTCTTGGACCATGGGTTGGGCTTCTGCCTCTGTACCTGCAGCTCTGCCCTCAGGGTGATCCTTCCTTTATCTTAAAGGGTAGCACATGTTTGCAGCTAAATAGTTTTAGCAGCCTATTCCCTACCTGTAGAATTTTGGTAGTCTGGCAATCTTCTGTCATTTTTTTCTGTCTCTGTCCCTTTCAGGCCAAGTTGGAAGTGTTTCTGCTGGTAGAAAATTCTCAAAACCTTGTAGGTCTCCCATTTATGTCACATTGATTCACACCTTTAGAAAAGAGGGTCATCACTGATCATTCTTGGATAACCCTATCTCTGTTCTTCGCTTCTGCCGAGACGGTTGAGTGAAACCATGAGTCAATGCCTAATCTCTTCAGCACCAGCCAAAGGTTGTCCAGCCACACCCTTGGTCTTATTTCCAGATCACACTTTCCTAACAGTGAATCTCCTAATTTTAGCATCTTTTATAATCTAAATAGACTCAGAATGTCCCCAGTCATCAAATGCTGATTCCTTTTCTGCTTTACTGTTCTTTCCTCAATGTATCTGTTTTCTCTCTTATTTTAAGCTGCAAAACAAACTAGGCTATACCTTTAACACTATGTTTGCAAATCTCCTGAGCTAAACTTCCAAGTTCATCACTTACGAGCTCTGCTTTCCACACAATCGTAGAACACAATTCAGATAAACTGTTTGCCACTATCTAACAAGGATTATGTTTCTTCCGGTTTCCAATAAAATATTCCTCATTTCCTTCTGAGCCCTCACCAAAAATGCCTTTAACATTCATATTTCTACCAACAGTCTGGTTAAGGCAATCTGTGCTTTTTCTATCACACACATCAAAATTCTTCCAATCTCTACCCATGATCAAATTCCCAAGCCCCTTCACATTTTTAGATATTTGTTACAGCAGTACTCCATTTCCCAGTACCAAAATCTGTATTCGATTACTGTGATTGCTGTAACAAATAACCTTCAAACATAGTAGCTTAAAAGAATAGAAATTTATTCCCTTACTGTCTTGGAGGCCAGAAGTCCCAAACTGAGGTACTGGCTGGGCTGAACTCCTTCTGGAGGCTCTAGGGGAAAATCCATTCCTCGTGTCTTCCAGTTTCTTTGGCTGCCCAAGGCTTCCATTCCTTGGCTTGTGGCTGCATCTCCCTCTGATCTGTCTTCACAGCACCTTCCCCTCTGTGTATGTAATCTACCTCTGCCTCTCTCTTATAAGGACACTTGTGATAGCATTTAGGGCCCACCCAGATTATCCATGATAATCTCCTTATCTCAAGATCCTTAACTCACTTACATCTGCAAAGACCCTTTTTTCCAAATAAGGCAATATTACAGGTTACGAGGGATTAGGATATGGACATATCTTTTGGGAGAAGGGGGCACCATTCAGCCCATGCTACTAGTCATTGCACATATATGTATTTTTCACTTTTTAAAATGCATCCTTGGTGCTCAAGCCAAATTTAAATTTTTCTCTAAAAGCTACTGTTTGCACAGGCTACTGCATGCTTTGTTGTTAAACGAATGGACAGGCTATTCTAAATTTTGGTTGATACTTTTGCCACTGTGGCCAATTAGCTTGGAAAAAATAATTGATCCCAACTCTACACTCTGGTGTACCTTTTCTGCCCCTTTTTATGGAGTCTTTGACCAATTGTCTTCTATGATTCACAATGCAGGCACAAAACTACCTCTGATACAGAAGGGTTCTTTACAAGCTTATTTTAAATATTGTGAATCCCTCAGCTGAAGGGAGAGGTGAAAGCAAAGACTGCTTTGAATGGGTATTGAGGGAGATTGTGTCCAAACCAAGCCACCCTGAAGAAGTGTTTCAGTAGCAGTAGAACTGTGGATTTGTGCTCTCATTTCGCCTCAGAATAAACACCTGTCTCTAAGCAGGACCAAGAATGACTTGCAATCTGTATGTAATGGCTATTAC